CGCACTCCCACTTCCGTGCCCCTACCCTTTCGTTATTCTATGGCTCTCACGCTCTAGGCACACGCCCGCGCAATCACACCTCGCACGCCGCCGCGCCCTACTCCACCCGGCCCCTCTACTCGTGCGGCTCGCCCCGCTCCCTCCCGCCCTGCGGCGGCCTTGCCCTCTCCGTCGCCGGCCTCCGCCCCTGCTGCTGCTCTTGCCGCCCCCAAGTAACCGTCGCCTCGCGTGCCCGGGCTTGCACCCCAACCTCGCCTTCCGCTCCACCCATTTCGCCGCCTGTGCACCTCCCGCTCGGCTTCCTGCTCCGACCTTTGCAGTTACTGCTCCCGACGTCCCCACCCTTGCTGCTGCTGCCGCTGCCCCAGCTTCGTCGCGTGCGCTCTCAGCGACACTCCCGCCCTCCACTCTCCTGGTTCCCCTCCCCCTCCTGCCTCCTTTGACCGCCCTACGATCCCTCCTCCCCTTATGATGCGCTTCCCCCATCCCCCGCCGGCCCGCCTCTTCTTGATCAAGCCGATCACAGCCACCTTCCCCTCTGCACGCCGTTTCCGTAGGCCCTCCTTCTCGTCCGTCGTGGTGCCGCTCCCGCTCCCACAGTCATCGCAGTTAGTCAATCTTCCCTCTCGTACGCTGTGAACCCCGCGGAAGGAGCGCAGCGCGACCGCCTGGGCGTCAATTCCCGGCCCTCCCTCACCCGCGCGCGTCTTCTTGCGCTGCCGGCTGCGACACGTGCCCGCCTCGCAGCAACGGTCTTCGGCGTTCCTCGCCCCTGCCCCTCGCGCCGGCGCTCGCCGCCACCCCCTTCCCCCCCGGGCGCGGTCCGGCCCCTTCTGCACGCGCTCCGCACCCACCTCTCGGGCCTCGTCAGCGGCCTCTGCCTTCACCCACCGTGCGCGACCCTCGCGACAGCGTGGCCATGCGGGCCCCCTCGCCCCCCGCCAGTGACACACCCTTTCCCCTCGCCGCTGCCGCCTCTGAGGTCATGCGGAATTTTTAAATGACCCACGTTATTTGTGCCCATCCCGTAGCCACCACGTGTCCTTGGTGGCCGCTTGGCCAGCGGCCAGGCCGCCCCGCAGACCCCCGCCACTTGCCATCGCCACGTGTTCCCGCGCCCTCACGTGGCCGTGACGTGTACGCCCTGTCGCCCCCGTGCGCCCAAAATTGAATTCGTAAACTACTGTAGTGCCGCATTGGTGCCCGTGGTAGCCACGTGTCCCAGTGGCGGCCTGGGCTGCGGCCAGGCCGCCCCCAGTCCGCACAGTACACTTGTCACTGTAGTAAAAAATGAAATTAAATCACGGCCCCGCCGCTTTCTACACGTGTCCGCGTGGCCGCCTGGCCTGCGGCCTGCGACCAGGCTGCCCCGCACGTGGCCGCCACTTGTCGCTGCAGCGCCCCCGTGCGCCAATGAGAACTCGTGTGGGAGCGCACGAACACACATACACAAACACACAGACAGACAGACACGGATTTTAGTATACGCGGGGACGTCAATATGAATTCTGACACGTTCTCGTTTGCCTTCGCACCAGCGGCGCGGTTGTGTTTTAAACAATAAACTGTGGCAAACCACATCGCCAAAAGACAGTGTCCCGCGTATACTGTGAACAGCATACACCGCGATTATGCCCATGGCGACCCTGCCAGGCGCAGGGGACGCAACTAAAGAAGGGAGGGAGGGAGGGAAAAGGTAAATGAAGAACTCTAACCTCGGAGGCGCAACGTCTCGTGACAGCTAAACATCTCCTCTAAATACTCAACTGCTGTCACCAACCATCCTGATTCCACACCAGAGGCCCATCCAATTTTGGCCACCAAAAAGCCTCCTCATTTGGCCTGCCACGGAGCACACGGCTCACCATACACTTGTCAGAAACCTATTCAAAGAATTCCCAGTACTTTTCTCATTTAAACTATTGTTTCGATTAAGAATAGCGGGGGGCTGATAGAAGAGCTGGAGAGAAAATAAAAGCGGGGAAGGTGACGGGCGCGTCGGTCGACACGACCACGACCCGACAACACCGGACACACCACGCTTCCCCCCGAGAAATAGAAAAACCAACCGAGCACCCCCTTTTCCGTAACAACACAGACCATCTGGTTCTCCACCCGGCGGCCTCTCCCGCCACCGGCGCACCTCGTTCCTCACCCTGCGGTGAAGATATTCACAAGTAAGACTTTGTATTTTCAGACTCAGATAATTTCTGAAAGCGAACCAAGGCAGCAACAGATTTCAAAGCAGTACCGAATCAAGATAACTGGAACCACTTACTGTACCAAAGTATCGAACTGTATAACAGCCAAGCAGCCGCAAACCAAAACCCACTTCTGAGCGTGCTTATTCACGAGTGTATCCTAAGACTAAATAAGCCATACTGTAAGATCGTGGAGAAGCCGACAATTCATATCAGCCGCTACACAGCATACTAAGCGACGCAACAGAATGTCTAATGGGGCTTTGAGATATGAGGATAGTCCTTGTGGAATAGGGCTGACCAGCATTATCGATCTTGACCAGATATCGGATTTCAGTCAAGAAGCCAAATCCATAGCGTACTTGCAAAGGAAACTGAACGTAACTACAAGAGAACCCTTTGAAAGAGACACGCCGGCTCACAACTTCGCCATCTCCTATACGGGCAGCACGCACAAGTTTACAGAGTACGGCCCCGCTAGAGAGCTTCTGTACCTACTAGTCCACGCTGCTCGCGCGGTCGGGGCTGAGAGAGTGCGGCTCTGGTACGATAAAATATATTGTCTTGGTGTGAGCTGGCATGAACGAGTCAAGACTGGATGGATTTCGCATGGCTTAGACCCGTACTTGAAGTACCCGGTACTTGGTATGGGTGGAAAAGAGTCTACGAGCGATTATGATCGCATGTGGATCATTTCAGAACATTCAGCGGCCAGATTGGGAGCTGGGATCTTCTATAGTGAGGGGTTCTGGGAAGCAGGCTTTGAGCAAGGTTCCGGAGACAGGACTTGGAATTGCAGAAAAGGAAAAGATCTCGCTCGCGAAATATTGGAAAAACAGGAAAACGGTGAGCTTTCTTTTGGTTTGACCGACAGTGACCATGAAAAGAATGCCTTCATTGACCTGATGAGCAGATACAAATCATGAGGTGACACTTTCGGGTGCAACACAGCCGGGCATGACCCTCGGGCAGCAGGACACGTAATGGACGCTGACTTATTCACCCAAAGCGCAGATCTAGCTGATAGTGTGTCAGACATCTGTGTGACAGCAGAAGACGTTAAGGAGGCACTGGTAGAACTGGGAGCCACCGTAACGGATGGACGGCTCGTAGATCTAGTTTGCGGGAAGTCTAGCGGCCAACTTGCTAGCATGCACTTGTCCGGCGGCATAAAGTACTTGGTTTCGAAAGGATTCATATCGCATTCCGCAGGTGGCACAGCTGTCAGCACAATCTTAGCAGGCGAGCAAGCACGAGCTAAAGAGTTAACATCGGAAACATGCTCGCGGACAGTGAACGTTTCGGGATTAATGGAAGTATTGCGGCAATTAGAGACTAACAACCAAACAGTTTTTCATTGGGCAAGCAAAAGCCTTTACGAAGGATCAGCAAGTGTATTGATTGAGCTAACCGAGTGCGGAGGACCGGAGGTCGATGAAAGGTCTCGAGAACATCTAATGAGTGTGAGAGACGAAGTGCGGAACGCAGAAGAGTTCAGATACGAAATGAGCATCGGTGACGTAGCAACGGCCACCATTATGTTAGTCTTAAAGAAAAACGGAAGAGACAGGCTTCGGCGGGCCGTCTTTGATATTGCGGGGCGGTACAACGGTGCCGAGGCCTCGCCGTACTACAGACAGACCCTAGGGCACACGCTGACCAAAAATCGGCATTAATATGGCGTGATCAGGGCGGCGACTAGAGATAAGATTGATACACCATTGCCAGCTAAGGTTACATCAACTAAGAACGTTGAGTGGAAAGGGGAAGATCTATACGAATTCAGGTACGGCAACCTCTCCGTGATCCTAGCACTGGCAGTAGGGCTCGTGCTCACGGGTGTGGTCGCTTCGATGGTGAACTGGCAGTCCGATGAGGGCAACCGCGCCGACTCCATATCCGCAGTTTTGGCAGCCGTGGCAGTACTAATGGGGCTGGTACCTTATCTTGTGTCAGAAGTCAGTAGTAGAAGATCCGACAAGAGGATGATGCTACGAGGTTACAGGCTAGTGGAAGGCAGCACACTGCAAGGCGACATGCGAATCCACGCCATTTCAGCCGCAATCCGAGCCGGGAAAGGGCAACACTTCACCTCACAATGGTGCTGTCTAATACCAGAGCACACTGGAGGGCGGTATACTCTTGACACGCCACTTACGTTACAGGAGTGGATAGACGTGGGTGCCGAAGTGGTGACAGGCAACACTCCCGAGCTATTCATCAAGTTGGCTGGCGTTACTTACGCCCTAGGACGGGGCTCTGGTGCAGCCATGCATGGCTACGTAGTTGCAGGTAGAATCGAGGGAGTAGAGAAAGCGCGAGTATCTAGCGAAGGACGAAGTGTGAGTGTAGGATACACACAACCAGGCAGATACACAGAGAGAAGAAAGGATACTTAAAAAGACATCTGGACCCCAAAACCCAAAACAACAGGGACGGAGGTGGCAGGTGGGGTGTGTGTGTGGGGGTGTCAGTGGGGGCGGATACTGTACAGGTAATGTGGACGTGGAGAAAATGCGCAGTAATTTTATAGATTTCGGGAACACTGGCGAACGTCGCAGTGTCAGGACTGGTGCCAGTCAGCAGGCGACGCACTGATACCTGTCACTGTAAGTCCAGTTATGCTTGTGACCACGTCTTTCCAAAACTTGCACGGACGTTTATAGTTTCGCCTAAAATTTCCGCAAACGTTTTGGCAATGGTTTGCCGATTCTTTTCGGTTTTGTGGAAAAGTGGCTCAGTTGGAATTACAGCTAATCGAGCTGTTCACAAATTGCTTACGAATGTTTCTGAGTTTCGCAGAAAAAGTTGCTCAAACTTTCGGCAGCACTTTGGGAACCTTTGAAACTTCAGAAACATTCATCAACCTTTTCAAAGATGCCGGATCGCATTACAGCTCCGATCGAGGGTGGATGGAAATATTCCATTATTGAGGCCTTGCTTGCAGGATCCAACAAGGTCCACCACCGGGACCAATGGGAGTGCCGTTTGAGGCGAATATCAGAAAAATCAATTGTCAACCAGGATTTTACGGAGCCATGAGCCCTGGTAATTGGGACCAAATTTGTATGGCTCTGGGTCACAGACTCTGGTGCCCAGGGCCATTATTGGGACGTATTCTCCCGAATGCGACTCTGACAGCTAAACATCTCCTCTAAATACTCAACTGCTGTCACCAACCATCCTGATTCCACACCAGAGGCCCGTCCAATTTTGGCCACCAAAAAGCCTCCTCATTTGGCCTGCCACGGAGCACACGGCTCACCATACACTTGTCAGAAACCTATTCAAAGAATTCCCAGTACTTTTCTCATTTAAACTATTGTTTCGATTAAGAATAGCGGGGGGCTGATAGAAGAGCTGGAGAGAAAATAAAAGCGGGGAAGGTGACGGGCGCGTCGGTCGACACGACCACGACCCGACAACACCGGACACACCACGCTTCCCCCCGAGAAATAGAAAAACCAACCGAGCACCCCCTTTTCCGTAACAACACAGACCATCTGGTTCTCCACCCGGCGGCCTCTCCCGCCACCGGCGCACCTCGTTCCTCACCCTGCGGTGAAGATATTCACAAGTAAGACTTTGTATTTTCAGACTCAGATAATTTCTGAAAGCGAACCAAGGCAGCAACAGATTTCAAAGCAGTACCGAATCAAGATAACTGGAACCACTTACTGTACCAAAGTATCGAACTGTATAACAGCCAAGCAGCCGCAAACCAAAACCCACTTCTGAGCGTGCTTATTCACGAGTGTATCCTAAGACTAAATAAGCCATACTGTAAGATCGTGGAGAAGCCGACAATTCATATCAGCCGCTACACAGCATACTAAGCGACGCAACAGAATGTCTAATGGGGCTTTGAGATATGAGGATAGTCCTTGTGGAATAGGGCTGACCAGCATTATCGATCTTGACCAGATATCGGATTTCAGTCAAGAAGCCAAATCCATAGCGTACTTGCAAAGGAAACTGAACGTAACTACAAGAGAACCCTTTGAAAGAGACACGCCGGCTCACAACTTCGCCATCTCCTATACGGGCAGCACGCACAAGTTTACAGAGTACGGCCCCGCTAGAGAGCTTCTGTACCTACTAGTCCACGCTGCTCGCGCGGTCGGGGCTGAGAGAGTGCGGCTCTGGTACGATAAAATATATTGTCTTGGTGTGAGCTGGCATGAACGAGTCAAGACTGGATGGATTTCGCATGGCTTAGACCCGTACTTGAAGTACCCGGTACTTGGTATGGGTGGAAAAGAGTCTACGAGCGATTATGATCGCATGTGGATCATTTCAGAACACTCAGCGGCCAGATTGGGAGCTGGGATCTTCTATAGTGAGGGGTTCTGGGAAGCAGGCTTTGAGCAAGGTTCCGGAGACAGGACTTGGAATTGCAGAAAAGGAAAAGATCTCGCTCGCGCAATATTGGCAAAACCAGAAGGTAAGCTTTCTTTTGGTTTGAGCGGCATTGTCCCTGAAAAGAATGCCTTCATTGACCTGATGAGCAGATACGCATCACGAGGCGACACTTTCGGGTGCAACACAGACGGGCATGACCCTCGGGCAGCAGGGCAAATAATGGACGATGCCTTATTCACCCAAAGCGCAGATCTAGCTGATAGTGTGTCAGACATCGGTGTGACAGCAGAAGACGTTAAGGAGGCACTGGTAGAACTGGGAGCCACCGCAACGGATGGACGGCTCGTAGATCTAGTTTGCGGGAAGTCTAGCGGCCAACTTGCTAGCATGCACTTGTCCGGCGGCATAACGTACTTGGTTTCGAAAGGATTCATATCGCATTCCGCAGGTGGCACCGCTGTCAGCACAATCTTAGCAGGCGGGCAAGCACGAGCTCAAGAGTTAACCTCGGAAAGGTGCTCGCGGACAGTGAACGTTTCGGGAGTAATAGAATTATTGCGGCAATTAGAGACTAACGACCAAACAGTTTTTCATTGGGCAAGCAAAAGCCTTTACGAAGGATCAGCAAGTGTATTGATTGAGCTAACCGAGTGCGGAGGACCGGAGGTCGATGAAAGGTCTCGAGAACATCTAATGAGTGTGAGAGACGAAGTGCGGAACGCAGAAGAGTTCGGATACGAAATGAGCATCGGTGACGTAGCAACGGCCACCATTATGTTAGTCTTAAAGAAAAACGGAAGAGACAGGCTTCGGCGGGCCGTCTTTGATATTGCGGGGCGGTACAACGGTGCCGAGGCCTCGCCGTACTACAGACAGACCCTAGGGCACACGCTGACCAAAAATCGGCATTACTACGGCGTGATCAGGGCGGCGACTAGAGATAAGATTGATACACCACTGCCAGCTAAGGTTACATCAACTAAGAACGTTGAGTGGAAAGGGGAAGATCTATACGAATTCAGGTACGGCAACCTCTCCGTGATCCTAGCACTGGCAGTAGGGCTCGTGCTCACGGGTGTGGTCGCTTCGATGGTGAACTGGCAGTCCGATGAGGGCAACCGCGCCGACTCCATATCCGCAGTTTTGGCAGCCGTGGCAGTACTAATGGGGCTGGTACCTTATCTTGTGTCAGAAGTCAGTAGTAGAAGATCCGACAAGAGGATGATGCTACGAGGTTACAGGCTAGTGGAAGGCAGCACACTGCAAGGCGACATGCGAATCCACGCCATTTCAGCCGCAATCCGAGCCGGGAAAGGGCAACACTTCACCTCACAATGGTGCTGTCTAATACCAGAGCACACTGGAGGGCGGTACACTCTTGACACGCCACTTACGTTACAGGAGTGGATAGACGTGGGTGCCGAAGTGGTGACAGGCAACACTCCCGAGCTATTCATCAAGTTGGCTGGCGTTACTTACGCCCTAGGACGGGGCTCTGGTGCAGCCATGCATGGCTACGTAGTTGCAGGTAGAATCGAGGGAGTAGAGAAAGCGCGAGTATCTAGCGAAGGACGAAGTGTGAGTGTAGGATACACACCACCAGGCAGATACACAGAGAGAAGAAAGGATACTTAAAAAGACATCCGGACCCCAAAACCCAAAACAACAGGGACGGATGTGGCAGGTGGGGTGTGTGTGTGTGGGGGTGTCAGTGGGGGCGGATACAGTAATGTGGACGTGGAGAAAATGTGCAGTAATTTTATAGATTTCGGGAACACTGGCGAACGTTGCAGTGTCAGGACTGGTGCCAGTCAGCAGGCGACGCACTGAACAACAAACGGCCAAGCGATAAATGAACAAAAAGTTTCCCACAAATTTGACCTGAGCGCAATCAATGGCCGACGTTATCCCCATTCCCGCTTCCCTCGTCGCTCATTGCTCTAATTATTGTCGCTGTACAGCCACCGTCCCTTTTATACACCGGTATTGTAGCAACATGCTTGCATGACTTTGACGCAATACCATTGGGATAATTGCATGATGATATTGAGCGTCGTCATTTGTTTATTAAAGTTAGAACAGATCCACGAACTGCTAACCCACCACAACAACACACAACTTCTAAAAGAAGTAACAACGCAGAGCGCACGTTCCGTCATCGGCCCCGTGATCCACAACACAAGGTTCACAAGGTTGAGATGTGACTTGACGGCCTCCAATTTCCCTGTTTCCTGGTTAAAAGTAGGCAAGCGATATCTCGGGCATGGCACAATCCGAAACAACTGCTGCGGCACCGAGTATAGAAAGTTAAAAATCTGTGGTAGGAAGAATAGAAGCAGCGTGAGTGCGTATTGCCCCAAAATCGCAGCCATAGCAAACGCCATTCCCGCAAAGTAGCAAAAGGTATCCCCGACAAATACCCGCGACGGGTACCAATTGTGCACCAGCAAGCCCAAAGTCACAGCCACAAACGGAATCATCATGTCCATTGAAAACGCATGATGTGCCCGAAGCAGCTTGATGTTATCCTTCGGCACCGTCGGGTTGATGTTAAGTGCGTTGTGCATGAGTACGAAGATCCCAATCACGACCGATTGTCCCACCTCCAACCCGTTAATGCCTGCGTAAATATTGATCGCATTCGTGCAGAATATGCTTAACAGCGACATGTACAGATAGTACCCGAGCCCGAGGTCCACCAATCTTCCCGACGCGGCTCCAACAAAACCGCCGCCCAGCGGTTTGGCAATGGCACCAACAAGCGGCGCCAGGGCACGCGGCATCACGACAGTCGTCACGCCGGTATAGTTGACCAGAAGTGGCATGCTAGCAATGAAAGGGAGAATCAATTTGTAACGCCATTTTAAGTCAAGAACGTCGTCTGCAAATCCGAGAAGCGTCATGAACGTAACACAAGCCATCGCAGCCGTATACAAGCGGGCGTCACCGTTGTGATCACCCACGAGATGCAGCGCACAGAGTACGAGAATATAGACTGCTGCTGGTATCAGGCCTAGTGGCTCGGGGATCGGCCTTTCTCCTGCTGGTGTGCCGCGCTTATTAATGTCCCTGCCGCACATGTTGGCCTTCAGGAAGAGCGGAACCATTACCTTGATAAAGTGCTTCACCAGGAGAAAGCATGTAGCTGCAATGAAACTCACAGTAAGAACCCGAGAAAGAAGAAGCGGATCCGCCAATTGGGCTTCTTTGCAAACGAAGGCCAAAACGGCATTGCAAGTGAGCAACGCGAAACCGCCCATGGCTAAGCCTGTTCCTCGCTCCTTCATCTCGTCTTCGGGTAGGCGTGAAGATGACGGTCTGGACGAGTTTGGATCCGCCGAAGACGGCGTCCCTGCCATTTGTCCCTACCAGAGCGAAACAAAGGTGTCTCGAAGAACGAAGTTGACTGCGAAAAGATGTAACGCGTCGACCACGTCGACACCGTCGACATAGACGCAGGCAGAGCTTAACAGCATTGTGGATGCCAGCGATGAAAACCCAATTCCACTTATTTTTAATGCCTGCAATATTGGTGCCCCAAAAAAGGATAAATTCTGAAAACTGTATCTGCCCTTTCTCCATTGGTTGTTCCGTATTAGCATATAACATGGCTGCCATCAAGCACTGTGATTCCTACGTATTCACATGCGTGATGTGATGATGTACTTCAGCTTACTCCCATCATCTCTTTGCAATTACTTAAGAGCTCCATATGACATCAAGAGTATCCAGTATACTCCAATCCATCTAGGCAAGAGAGCTTCCATTATCACCGAATAAATGATGACTTCTCTCATTGAGAACCTATTCACAATAATCTTTACATATAGAAGACCGGAAAACAAAAGTTAAGCATGCACCACGTTTTCCTACGTTATTTCTTCGCCCATTTATCTCAACGCCTTCCTCCGTTTAGTTTCCTACTTCATTTCGATCTATGCGAAACGATCATCCTTCGATCAAGATCGAGTTTCATGCTGGGATGAGATCTACTCCAGAGTGTTGCCTTTTTATGTGGGACGACAGTTGTAAACTGCCCCAGCTCTGTTCGTTCCCTTCTATTCCGGCATTTCCTGTGATATCAGCAATATCGGTGCAGCCATAATTCATGCAGGGTAAGTTTTTATGATGGCACATAGATTGGAGCGATACCCTCTTCATTTTTTGTACTGGCAGCAACAGTCAACGTCCAGAGGCTTCCCACGAACAGTGTTTCTGTCAATCTTGGCGTTTTCTAGTACAACAACTTCCATCGACCTTTTAAATAGTTTAAAAGCGAGATTTGGCAGACCTAATGTAGGGCAGTCTAGTCGGAAGAAATCCCTCTTTGGGGATACTGTATAAACGTCAATTGACTGCAACTCACCACATTTCCGAATAGCAGAGTTAAAGGTGGGCGTATGAATTTTAGGTCACTTGGCGCTATTCTACGCACCAGCTGTACTGGTGGCATACACTGCCGAGTTGTTCAGGGTCGGGATTCGGTCATAAAATCGGGTTTTGAGGTACTAAATTGATTTGGTGATGAGTCATCAAAACTTGTCGTGCGTCTAGGATTGATTGGATTCGTTAGTGGGCTTAAGGTACTGGTACAGATAGTTGTGTTAACATCGAGCTAGAAAATCATCTCTGCCACGACCGGAATGAAAGAGGGCTCTACGCCAGACAAGACTATATACACATGGAACAGTGATAAACCGGTCACCGAGAAGCATAGCAGACTCACTTATCCCCTAAAAGCATTCTGTGCAAATCGCTGCGCCGAAAAGAAAAAAAAAAGGATCGGCCGCATAGACATCTGAAGGCAATACCGACTCGATTGCAGGTTGCCATCTTCCTCTTCCTCCCCTAACACCGAGCCAAAACCTTGAGCACATCGGGCGCGTCCGAAGCACTATATGCACTCGTATTCATCTCTGTGACAATGGTGAGAATCTCATGCGGCCTGATGACATCATAACCCGCATAACTCCAATCCACGATCATGCCCTCCGAAAACTTGACGGCCTGCGTCGTCACGACGACCGACACGCCCAGCTCCCTCGCAATCTGAACCACAATGCTCGCGCCGGGCGAGGCCAAGACACACCCATTCATCGCCACTTCCTCCGCTCCTATAATAACGGCGTCAACGCCTTCCAACAACTTACGACAATTGCCCAATAAGCCATAGCGAACCGACGCTCCCGTCGCGGCTGCCAGCCTCTTCGCGACGCCCCTCCCTTCATACTGCGGCGCGACGTCAATGACGGTGAGCTGCTTGCGAATATTGATGGCCAAGAAGGCCTCCTCTGCGACGGTACTGCCCGCAAAGACAGCGAACGAGTCCCAGTATCGCTCGCGCGAGAGCTTGTCAAAAAAGGCGGAGGTCTTCGCGCGGGCGCCGTGCACGCGGACGGTGACGAAGGCGTCCAAGGCGGCGAGGGCGACCTGGTAGAGGATGTGGTCGTCGTCGCAGGCGGCGAGCTGGAGCTGGACGGCGTCGCGCATGGCGCGCAGCACGGGGGAGGCGGAGCGGCCGAAGGCGGCGGCGGCGGAGGAGGAGGAGGAGGAGGAGGAGGAGAGCAGGTGGGCGAGCTGCAGGCGGGCGTCGGCGGGGGCCGACTCCTGCAGCGCGAGTATCTGGCGGCGCAGCGAGGCCTCATGCGACAGGATGGCGTCGGTGCTGCTCGGCGCGGG